ACACCCATACCTGCAGATATACCCACACCTGTGTTGGACACTAGTGTTGCCGCAGTTCTGGCTTATGACTGGCTTTAGCTGTTAAGACCGTACTCAAGTAGTATCGGATCCGAAGGGCTTCGGCCTCAGCTCGTGCGCTGTGCCCCTTTCCCGAGTCTTGCCCCTTATTTCAGAGAGCTAAAGTATCGCGTCTAGTGAAACAGATAAGTATTGCAATGGATCCGTTAAGACTTCCGGATATCGAACGTATATAGAGTAACGGCCAATCCGGATCGGATCCGGACTAGAAACTAACGGGTGAGGACTGTCCGAAGACAGAGGCGGATATGTAGACTATAGGAATCTATCCTAAGTCTCGGAGTAGACAAGAGTAGCGTACTCAAGTCCGGATGGATAACGGAGGGACTCAGAGTCCAGACGGAATGAGTGCAATCTAAGTGATATTCGAACTGATCTACTACAGCGCATATACAAAGGTTTATATACTACGGATAGCTAACGGAATGATCAATAAGCAAAGGTGCGAGGCTATGTACGAAAGTATAAGCAAAGTCTAAGTGGAGCGTATTGGTAAGTTGGATGGATCACGAATCATGAACCGGGAATGAAGTACAAGTAAAAGCGGATTCGTAAGTGTAGCGGATCAGTAAGCATAGCGGATCAGTAAGCATAGCGGAAGTAAGGATAACCGGTATACCGGTGTACAGAATACCGAAAGGAGATGAACGATAGTTAGAGTTATATGAACAGGAAATGAAATAAGAATCAAAGCGGATCTGTGGACCGGACGACGGATATGTTCATCGGATCTGGATCGGATCTGAGATCCAGATCATCGGATCTGAGATCCAGATCATCGGATCTGTAACCGGATATATGGTATATGACATTAGCCGTGGGCAGAGCTGTAATTAGCCAAGCCGTGTATCTAGGTATAGCTTACATAATACATGGCCTGGCCCAGTCAATGAATCCACATTTACAGTCTCCGAGCTGGCTTCAAGCCAGCTCCCAGATTTAAAATTAGAATATTATATATATATATATTTGTGTTTAATTATAAACATACCATCTAATGCTAAAAATGGAACAGACCACTGATCTTCTACATCATACATACACTGAACTCACTCATTGGATATCAACAATCAACATCAATTGTCAATCAATATGGGTCCTCAAAATGATGTAAGTGCAATATCAGACTTCGATATTCCAAAAGCTAAGCTAATTTAGCAATATTCCAGTCTTGATCACGCTCGCAAGATTTGAGCAGGACAAGCAAGATGGGGGCTTCTCAAAGCCATAGACCAGTGGAGATGGGGATGGGAGTGAATGTCATGGAGACAGAGGCTGTGGGAGATGATGTTGAATGGCCAATGAAGAAATGGCTTGGTGTGGTGTTTGAACAAAGTGGGTTGGAAGCGGGAAGAATAGCATAGAGTAGCTACTCCATCTTCCATCATTTGTTATGCAATTGAGTGCAAATGTACACTGTGGTGTTCAAACTCGGGCTAGCCTCACAGAACCCCTTTTTGCTATAGAGGTCAAGCATCCTAGAAGTCCACATCACATCCATACATCACTTCCTTGCAAAGCCTCGACTCACCTGACCCTTCCATGTCGCAGTGGACTATGTCCAACTTGGCCAATACAGATCTGTTGCTTCGGCCGTTCACAGGGAGCCAGGGTTGCCTGTACCATCCCTAACTTGCCATTTCGGTCATCGCACACCTTGGCTGACCGTTCCGTCCCGTCGGTACCGAATCCTCCCATGTCCTGCCCATGTCTGCCTATCTCCATTGGTGTGTTTTAAGCTTATCTCTGATTGAAAACTATGGGCTTGTCTAGGATATGCCGTCTAGACACTTGAACTGGTTTCCTTAATATACAATAAACTAGTGAGAACTGGTCTCACAAACTGTTGAGAAGCTGGTCGCAAATGTGACTATGATGACCAAAGCTTGTGTTGGTCAATATACAAATACCTGGTGGACCGGCCTGCACTGCTCTCTGAAGAGGAGGAACAAGGATGATGCTGATGTCTGAGTGCTACTGCTGCTGTGCGCTACACATGTGTATGTACTGATGTGATCTCGGGCTTTGCCGAGTCTCCTGCTGATCTGCAACACTGGCTTGCACCTGCTCTGCTCTGCTATGTTCATCTAGGTTTGGTTGGATGCCCCACTCCATCTGCCCCCCCCCAAAAAACAAAAAAAAATGCGACACTCTGGGGCGCACATGGCTCTACTCCTCCTCAAGGTCCTCCACCAGCTCTAACTCTTGGTCTAGTTCTTCTTGCAGTCTGTGCCACTCCTCATCTGGCTCTCTTCTTCGTCACTGGTGTCTGGCCCACTCACTGCCTCTTGTAATGCCGCTAGCATTGTTCCATTACACGGGATGAATCTCCGGAGGCGTCTCGCATGGAACATCCCTTTGAGCGGGAATCCTTCCAGGGTGGCTAGTGTATAGGAGTTGCCCATTCTGGCAATGACACGTCGTGGGGCTGACCATCGTGGCTGCAGTTTGTGTGATGATGCCATGGTGAGATCTAGTGTATTAGCATAGACTTGAACTAATTGACCAGTTTTCGAATATCACTTCACCTGCATATGATTTGTTAACCTTCCGATCAAATGCAGCTTTGTGTTGCACTGTGTGCGCAGCTGCGAGATCAGCACCACCAAGCCGTTGTTGCTCGACATATGCCATATGCACGTTAACTTCCAATGTACTTAACTCTGTAGAGGCCTCTTCAACTAGGGTAGGGCTGGTGTTAATGACGAGGCCCAACATGAGCTCTTTGGGTGAGATTTTGAAGGCAGGAATAATGCGCTCATTCAGCTGACAAATGGCACTGTCGAAATGGTCTGGCCACGACTTCGTTATGCTCTTTACGTCCACGTCTTCATACTCATCCTCTCCCAGATTCAGGCTGCATAACCTCTTCAAGCGTCCTAGAAGTTTCCCATTGGCATTCTCCACCAGGCCATTTATCCATGGTGCATATGCAGCTACGACATGATGCTTAGCTCCATGCGCCTCGCACCATGTGCGTACCTCTCCGTTGTCAAAGTGCGATCCACCGTCTGTCATGAATGTGTCTGGTGCACGGAAGGTGTGTGCAACAGATTCGAGACCTGTCACCGTTGTTTTTGCCGTTCCGTGTATCTTTGATTTAAATCCCCAGACGTATTGTGAGTACGTGTTGAGGATTAACAACACATTATGATAGCCTCCTTTGCCCTTTGGGAGTGCTAAATAATCGGCTACTAGCAGTTTGAAGGGATGATGTTGAGTAATGGGAAGCATAAGGGCATGTAGTTGCGTGGGGCCGAAGTTTTTGCACTGAGGGCATTCGAGCAATGCTTTGATGATGGACTTATCTAACCGCGGGCTGACTATGCGGTCCATCAGTTGGAGCTTTGTCAGGTCTTGACCCCAGTGTCCGTTGTCCGCATGTGTTTGCCGTGCTAGTTCCATTGCTTCTAGTTGTGATACGCATTCTAACCATGCTTGTGCTCTTGCAGATTTGCCATCTGCTATGCGCCATAGACGTCCTTCATCAATCATATACCCCAAGGCTCTGTGACGCACCCTGCACCGTTCCCGTTCCGGCTTGCTTTCATTGAGATCAAGGAGTGCTTCTATGACTTCCAAGAAGAGAGGTTCTTGTTTGAAGCGTTCATGTAAATCTGAAACCACAGAGTCAGCTGGTTGTACCATGAGTAAGTCATTTACTAGGCCATGTGCTGTTTCCCAATCTTCACTGACAGACCATGCACTTCCGTCTCCATCCATCCATGGTCGTCCTGACATGCGACGACTCAGCGCATCTGCTGCGATGTTAGTAGTGCCTGGTCGATGTCGAACTGTCGACAACTTCTTTCATAAAGAGTTGTGTCTTGGATGGTGAAATGGAAAGACCCCATTTGCAACATCACAAGAAGAAAAGCCGTAGTCGGGCTAGCAGCTCTTCGAAGATGTTGCCTGCCATGGCACTGTCATCTACATACAGCTCGAGCAGTAGTTGCATCATTATATTGTGTAGTGCTTTAGCTGTAAGGTCACTAAAACATGATGGTGCACCTTGTACTCCCACAGGCATCCGCTGGTATGCTTCGTAACCTCGTCCCTCTGTGTAAAAACATATGTAAGATTGACTTTCCTCTTCTACAGGAATTGCATAAAAGCCTGCTGCAAAGTCTAAAACACATATGAATTCATGCCCTGCTAGATGTTGTTGTTTCGCTGCAATATCTCCTTGAGGCATTGTTGCTACATCCAATACTCTATTCACATCCTTGAAGTTCTGGCATATTTGCCATTTGACCTTAGACGAGTCCACTGGTTCTGGTTTGATAATGGGCATTGATTCTGAGTCAATGATATGGTCCGAAGGCTCACCAAGTGCGACACATTGCTGATTGACAATTTGACGAATATCTTCCAAGGTTAGGCTGGTTCCTGAATGTGTTTTTCTGCACTAGAACAGTTGATGCTACTGCTTTCACTTCGTCCAAAGGGATGAACCATGTGATCACTGCTTGTCTCATATCGTCCAGGACTGGGAACAGGTATTCACACTGTGGTTTTGTTAGTGGTCGTTGCTGCACTTTCCTTGAGAATGTTGTATCTTGAGGTATTTGCAAGCGAAACTTGATGAAATCTACTGGCTTCACTTCTTGGATTGACAATGCAAATACATCAGCAAATTCTATAACTAGTTCATGCACCTTGAGTAATTGTTCTTGATTGAGGTGGGGCCCGAAACGGACAGCGTCGATGATTGCATCTACTCGTGGCTGATAGAATGGTCCTTGAGGTGTTAGTCTAGTAAAGATATTATCAGGTAGGGTTGAGTTCGACAGATCCAGCACTTCACCTAATAACAGTTTTTTTTTTTTTTTTTTTTTTTTTTGGATCCTTGTTTATTGTCCTGTGGGGCGGGGCCCTATGGTGGACACTACCTACAATATCATACGTTGCTAAATATATATTGTGACTCTGGTGTGTCAGTGCTAATCAATGGTCTGTGCGTGAGCAGGGACAGTGATGCCGTCTCAAGGCGTTGGAATATTGTGTTACATTTTGCGTGCGCTTCTCCTCTTCTCTAGCTGCTCCCTCTTTCCTTCTTCCTCATTTCTTCTCCTCTGGGGGGGGGTGACGTCTCCAAAAGCCTGTTCCATTCTTCTTGTGCGCGCGATGTATTTGAGTGTCGCTCTGATTCCTTTGCTTTCGCTTAGAAGATATTTGATGTGGAGCTGGCGCGGTCCTACTTCCATGCTGAGTGTGTTGCGTTGTCTGGCGAATTTGGGGCATACTAACAGGAAGTGGTGGACAGTTTCTTCGTGGGCAATGGCATTCCTGGCATGTCGCTGACGGCGCTCTAGCTATGCGGTGGAGATGTTTGTTGAGGGTGATGTGACCGGTGCATAGTTGGAAGAGTAGCGTCCCGTGCTTTCTTGGTAGGTCTGCAATTTTGCTTGCGAATTTCTTGGACGGAGCCGTGTGATCGATGGAGTTGAGCCAGGGTGTAACGGGGTGATTCTTTCATGATGCTCACGGCTTCGTCTTTGATTCCTGCCATAGAAATGCTGTTTGAGAGCGGATTTGCTTTGCGGGAGTATTCTGATTGCACCGTCTCTGGTCAAGAGTGACTTGGGGAGTTCGTGCGCTTCTGAGGAGTCTCCTGATGCGGCTTTCTTCGCTTCCTCGTCCGCTGCCCTCATTTCCAGGTTGCCTTTGTGGCCTGGCGACCACCGGATGACTAGTTTTCTGCCGTCTTTGAGGGGTAGCAAGTTGCGCAGGTCGTTGTGAAATATGTCTGCTAGGTGGTGGCCTGGTCTTGATTGGAATGCTGTCGTGGCGAGTATTGCCGCCTGGTTGTCTATGCCTAGCGCCATCATTCCCCCCTGCTGCCTCCTTCCTCCTTCAACAGTTGGATTGCCAGGATCATCCCTGCCAGCTCTGCCTCGTATACGGTATGTTCTTCGTCGCTTCCCAGATGCAATCTTTTCCTTCTTATCACCTCCTCTCCCCTCATCAGTACTGCTGCACCTCCTACTCCCCCATCCACTGAACGATCCGTCCGAATATGCCCGTAGTTCTTCCGTGGCGAGTGTGTCCGTCTTTTACCCGCTTGCTGCGTTGACTCTGCAATATGCGTATCGACGTCCGGTTCCCACTTGGGGTAATGTCTGACCGGTTCAATTTTCTCGATGTTGGATGGGTTAATCTGAAATTCATTCATCAGCCTGTGTAGAGGTGAGGGATATTGCTTTCTCCCCTGGAACTGTCGTTTTTTCGCTATACTCATATGCTTTCTTTGATTTCTTTGGCTAGCGGGTGCGGTGGGAGGAGTATAGCCATCCTTAGGGATGCTCGATAGCATGGCTTCCTTAATGCCTGCTGAAAGGGGAGGAGCCCCTTCAGTGACAAATCCCGTATTATATGGGTCACCCGACCTACATAATATCCCGTGTAATACGGGCCAGCGGATTATGGGCCGATGTTATGTTATATACCCGATGTTGACGGGTGGGCTGGGAGGAATATTATTTCCGATGGATACGGTGTGGGCCCATCTATGCTGATGTTATATATATCATTGATGATAGCAGATGGGCCGGGAGAGAAATATTATTATGAAGATGGGTGGGCCCATGTGGGTAATATGTAGAGTAGGATTGACATATATTATAGACCTGAGGAGAGATGTATAGCAAATAGTATTATATAGACGGGTGGGCCAACGTATCAGTATTATTTTGTAGACGGATGGGCCGAGGGAGCGGTGTGAAATATTTATTAGATAGACGGGTGAGCCAAGGGTGGGGTGAATTATTTATTACATAGACGGGTGGGCCGATGTGGGGGTAATATTAGATAGACGGGTGGGCCGAGGGTGAGGTGAATTATTTATTACATAGACAGAGGTGGGCCGACGTGGGGTCATATTAGATAGACGGGGTGGGCCAAAGTGCAGAATTTTACATAGACGGGTGGGCCGACATCGGGTAATATCAAGTACCAAGTACTAAAACCCAAAACCCAAAACCCAAAACCCAAAACCCAAAACCCAAAACCTGAAACCTGAAACCTGAAACCTGAAACCCGAGCCCTGAACACCCAGACTCGGGACTCAAGAGACTCAAAACTCAAAATTCAAAACCCAACTGGAAAGTCATACATTTTTACGAGTTAAGAAAATTCAAATTTAAGATGATATACATTTTTGTCATCTGGAAATACCGAGTACCGAGTACGAGACCTGATACCCAAGACCCGAGATTGGCACTCGGTAGTCAGTGAAATGAGTACAGAAATACATAAGATACTACACATTAGTTTCAAATTTTGACTTGTGAATCACAAGTCTCGAGTCTCGAGACTCGAATCACCGAGTACTGACTACCAAGTACCAAGTACCGAGTGCCGAGTGCCGAGTGAGTGCCGAGTGCGAGTGCCGAGTGCGAGTGCCGAGTGCCGAGTGCCGAGTGCCGAGTGCCGAGTGCGAGTGCCGAGTGCCGAGTGCCGAGCGAGTGCCGAGTGCC